TTTTTAGACCAAATATTACAGATTTGAACAAATACACACAACATCATCAAAATTAGCACAGAAACAGTACTATATAACATTTTAGACACATTCTAGACAGTTTATCAGCTAAAAAATTTAATTTTTGGGGTGTTACTCTTTAATAAATTTGTCTAATCTGCTAACAAATAATTTCTCTATAATCTTTGAAAACTGAGGTTGTTGAACAAATATTTCTCACCATTCTTGAAAAGAGGGATTAACTTTTACATGTCTGGAAAACTTCCTGCTGTAAATGATAAATTATATGTTTATGAAAATGGTTCAATCACTTAATTATCTCCTTTACAAACATCAACAAGTCAAAGTTTATTAATGTGTTTCTGCAGGAACCAGTGATCAGACCACAGAGGTTCCTGTCGTCGTCCCGGACGATCCGGACCCGACCACGAAGCAGAGACCGGGCAGGAGGACCGGCGTCAGACCCGGCGACGACTCCGACAGTGACTTCGAGTCGGACCCCCCGTCCCCGAAAAGCAGCGAGGAGGAGGAGCCAGAGGAGGAGGAGGAGGTCCTGAACAGCGAGCACGGCGAGGACACGGAGCCGGACCACCTGGGACAGAGACCTCTGCTGATGGACTCTGAGGAAGAGGAGGACGAAGACAGGCAAAGCTCCGACTCGGACTTTGACCCCAGCAGGGTCAGGAGCCGCTCCAAGAGACCCGCGGGCCGTAAAGAACCCGCTCCAAGACCCCCGGGGACGGGTCTGATCACGCCCCCCGTGTCCCCGAGCGGCGCCGGACCGTCGGGGGACGTGGACATGTTCGGCGCCATTCCCTTCCTGGGACCGGAGACCAGGGACATCTTCAGCAAGGCTCCGTTCAGGCAGGTGGGCCTGGAGCGGACCCCCACAGACGACCTGGACGTCTTCACCAAAGCTCCGTTCAGCAGGAACCGGTCCAGGTCCAACAGGGACGTCCCCGCGGGACAAACGCCGCCCGTCTCCCCCGAGGGCATCGACGCGTTCGGGTTCTCCCCCTTCCACCCGGGTCCGGACCCCCCCGCCACCTCCAGGAGCGCCGACGACATCTGCCGCCTGGAGGAGTCGACCAATCAGAGGCTGAGGCAGCGCAGCCTCCAGAGGCTGTCGTCACGCCAACGCAGGACCAAGCAGGAGGCGGGCGGCAGCAAGCGCCACCACGGGACCCCCACCGGAGCCCGCAAGACCAGCAAGCCCACCTACCGCACCCCCGAGAGGGTCCGCCGGCACAAGAAGGTGGGCCGGCGGGACTCTCAGAGCAGCATTGAGTTCCTGAGCCCCTCGGACTCCAAGGAGAACATCAGCGTGGACTTCCTGTCCCACGCCAAGGACCGGGCCCCGCCCCCTCCCGACGACCCCGGCCTCGACCCCTTCCACCCTCAGGACGGGGGCTCCGCCAAGTCCTGGGCCGGACCCCTGAACGGCGGGGAGAGCCGGACCATAGACGACTTCGGGGCGGTGCCGTTCACAGAACTGGTGATCCACAGTGGACCCCAGCAGGCCTCACAGACCCTGGACCTGGACCCGTTTGGAGCGGCACCGTTTCCCTCCAAGCAGTGACTTCCTGTCGTCCATCTTACTAAAGACCTGGACCCATTTATCTGGACCTGGACCCATTTATCTGGACCTGGACCCATTTATCTGGACCTGGACCCGGTCCTGCTGCAGCAGAACCCGGCTCATCGTTCGCCTTATGTGATTTTAGCACCACGACGCCTTAACTGGACCTGAAACCACTTTAGATTAGTGTCTATGCAGATTTTAACCTCTGTGTGTGTGTGTGTGTGTGTGTGTGTGTGTGTGTGTGTGTGTTAGAAGGGAAAGATTTTTATTGTAGTTTTTAAATTTCCTTCTTAGCAGGAAACATTTGTAAGTTCGGCTGTTTTTTAATGAGCTTAAAGTTCTTCAGACGTAAGAAATAAAAGTTCAAATGAAGGATTTATGAAAAGTCTTGTTTTGGTTTCAGAGAAATAATCTGAGGGTACAAGTTTATAATTTTACACAGCAGTAAAAGTGCTGTTTACTGTTGTGTTATATGAGTTTCCTGAATAACGGTTTAATTAAACGAACATGTGGGGAACGTTTTGTCACAGGCACCAGTCAACTGTTTCCTGGGGGACACTTTTCCTCGCAGCACCGCTATGTGTATACAAAACATCCTGTTTTCACTATCGCTGAATTTAGTAAACAACTGTGACGTGCACGGTTAGATTTATAATGGAGACGTTAATGCATGGAGACTTTAACATGCTTTTATTGTGAAAAGCCAGGGGGAAGTAGTTTTTTATTTTTTTGAGTAACAACAACTCGGAATAAAATAGGAGTAACGACTTTTTACTTACCTTTTTTAAAAATGTAGTGACTAAAAGTACAGATAATTGTGTAAAAATGTATTAAATAAAAGTAAAAAGTACGCTGAAAAATAATTACTCAAGTAAAGTAGAGATACCCAAAAATTCTACTTAAGTACAGTAACAAAGTATTTGTACTTGGTTACTTTACAACTCTGCCTAAATGCATGTTTACTGTCTACAACCAAGCAAAGAAGAAGACGACGTACAGAGGAGGGAAACAGAGGAACAGTAAAAGAAACAAGTCAATAAGCAACATTTGTACATTTTATTATCAGCTGAGCTGTGATGAAAAACAAAATACAGTCAAATACCACGAAACTGGTGTAATTGTTGAAAATACCGTGATATAAAATTTGGGTCATACCGCCCAGCTCTAAGCAGTAAATTATTTTAGTCACAGCTGTAACAAAAACATAAAATAATGTTCTGTACAAAACATTTTATTCATTTTTACAAAGATCAGGGCTGTGAATAATTTAAAAAAAACAGGAGAGTTTTCCCGTCAGCCTAAAACTAACATCCTTTACAGCCCACCAGGACCCCTGCTTTAATGATGGTTTTATTAAACTGCGTCTCACAGAGTTAAAGTTAACAGTCTGACAGAGTTCTGTTACATAATACTGAACCACCTGATCAGAGTCTGACATGAAGACTTTAAAACTAACATTGCACGTCCCCCTAAATGAACAAGTCCCCCCTAAGTGAACACGTCCCCCTACGTGAACACGTCCCCCTAAATGAACAAGTCCCCCCTACGTGAACACGTCCCCCTACGTGAACACGTCCCCCTACGTGAACACGTCCCCCTAAATGAACAAGTCCCCC